AGTTTAGTTGGCTATAGGTCTGTAGGTTCAATTCTATTCCATTGGTCCTGAGGTCTGTTCTTGTGCCAGTACCAAGCTGTTTTGATTACTATGTCTTTATAGTAGAGTTTGAAATTTGGTATTGATATTCCTCCAGCACTGTTCTTTCTGTTGAGGATCGTTTTTGCTATTCGGAGTCTTTTATTGTTCCATATGAATTTTTGGATTGTCTCTTCTATTTCCTTGAAGAATGAGGTAGGAATTTTGATAGGTATCGTATTGAATTTGTAGATAGCCCTGGGAAGTATTGCCATTTTCACGATGTTGATCTTTCCAATCCAGGATTGTGGGAGTTTTTGCCACTTTCTAAGTTCTGTTTTGATTTCCTTTTTCAAGTTTTTTAAGTTTTCATCATAGAGGTCCTTCACTTCTTTGGTTAATTCCCAGGTATTTTATTTTTTTGTGGGGCTATTACAAATGGAGTTGCTTTCCTAATTTCAGCCACACTTTTCAAGAGAACATTATTTTATTATTTAATGAGCTATTGTAAGCTCAGAAAACTTGTGCATGTTTTCTCTCATATGCAGAAGCTGGATCTAAAATAGACTGGGACATGATAAATCACATAGGACTCTAGACATTCACATATAGTGAGACCAATGGAGGATACTCTTAGGGAAAGCACACAAGGGGGCAATGCCTCTAGTCATATAATAATAATTTTGATAATAGTATTTATAAAAATGGGCTCCAAGAAATTAAACAAGAGATTTTTTTTCTTCAAAAAAGCAAAAAAAGACTAGTGTGTATCTATGTTTACTGACAAATATGTTACCTTATTAAACTCTAAAGGAGGTAACAGCCTTATATGGGGTCTTTCATCATGTGTGTATGTGTTACATAATGTAATATATAATGTAATAATTCTAATGTAAACTCATCAAAATGTTAGGAGTGGTTATTTTGCCATCCTAGTGAGTTTGTAATACTTTATAGTAATAAAGGATTTTTTAATTTTGAAAGGGAGATTAAATGTGTGAAGATCGAACAACCTAAAATAATAAAAGCCTATTTTTCAGATCAAAACTTCAATTACTCAATTGAATCCCTAAAGTAGAAACTGAATAGACAGATTTAGAAAACAGCCTTACAGAATTTTCTTAGAGCTCAGAGAAAGTGATAAGAGTGAGCATGATTAAAATGTTAAAGGATAGAGAGCATATAAAGGAAATATATAAAACAAATTTCAGAAGCAAACTACAAAAGCCCAGGGGAAAATAGCTCAGTATGATAGAAAAGCTCCCTGAACAGAAGAAGAGTAACAGAACAGGGTACAGACATGCCCGCCAGGCTTGAGCAGCAGGGCACCCTGCATGCACCTCATCCTCAACTCCAGTCCTTGGAGGAGACGCAGCCTGGATGATAATTCAGATATGAAACCTGTGTCAACTACTTATACCATATTATGCAGCAATCATAGATTACACAGCCAAAGAATTACATGCTTTGCTGACTTTCAAGGAAGAATCATGTTTGCAGAAAGTTCTCACTGAGAGTCAGGCAACATTATTTAAAGAGGGTAAGACCTCTAAATCTGTG